TGCCTGTTTTAACAAATTTAATGATAAAAATCTGAGCTCACTTGGCTTTTATTCACTAAAGTTAAATATACTAAGCTGAGATTAATTGAATTGATGTCTACTCAACTGTGGATCGTGTGTGTGTGTTTTGCATTCAATTTTATAATTGAACTAAAATTAGAACGTCTATCAGTTTGTATAACATTAATTTGAACATTGCATAATCTACAACTTGTAAAAATTTTAAATTATTTAAAAAAAAAAAAAAAATATTTGATAATTTTTTTTCTTGTAATTTGTTTTATTTTTCAGCCTTCCCAGCATTTGACAAAACTTAAAGGGCTTTATTCCTTCCAGGAAAAATAAATAGTAAAAAAATTATCTTGTATAGAAAAATCAGAATTTATCCCCCTCCCCAACTCTATATTTGTAGAATGTTTAGTCACTCTTATTTGTTAGACTGCAGTTTTGGAATTTTCAAATAATTGACTCTGCTCCATAATTAAAATTTCATAGTTACCTCCCTTAACAAGTTGATCACTGCAAAATGGATGTTATGTGTGAACAGCACCTCCCCCACACTATTAAGCTGCACATCAATCGGATTTTTTAATTTTTTTTTTTTTTTTTAAGTTAGTATATTTTAGGTGTAGCTTAATTTATTACCTCTGGTTACAAAGCATGGTTTTGGCTATTTACACATAAAAAAACTTAGCCTCAGGCAACATGTGTTGACTTTCAAAGTCCTTTTTCTCTTCAAATTTTTCTACTAGCTTTGTGGTTTGGTCCCCCCTCCCCCCCTTTTTTTTAATATTGAAATTGCTGAATCGTCTCCTGTTTCGTAAGTCTAAATGGCATTTATCAAATCTGATTTGGAAGAAATTCTTCCATCTCAAGTTTCCAACATGAAAGATAGCATAAAACTAGTTTTTGGGCTTTTTTTTTTTATCCTACTGCTTACAAGACTCCTAAAATGCTTGAAGGATTCACTGTACAGACAGCAACAACCACGTCCTCATATATTTTGATGAAATGGCAAACGAAAGAAGTGCATGTATACAGGCATTCGATTAAATCTTTCAACCTCATATTGCAGGCTGTGCTATTGTTAGTCATGCAGACCTCCGGCCTGTTTCAGATAGTTCAGCTCCCATTATGGGTGAGTATAAATACACAGCAACTTCAAGCTTGCTCTTTGCAATGCTGACAAGATGCTCTGCTCCTTATGCCTGCCCAGAGGTTAACCTTTTTGGACCTTTTTACAGCTTGCCAATTTTTACACACCAATAGCCTTAACTAAAACTAGTCTTCAACATTTTCTCTCTCTCTCTCTCTCTCCAAATGGTGTTCAATACCAATAACATTTCTTAATCAGGGGAGGCGAATGATAACATGTGTTCTTTACTGACTCTTCAACTAATACCTTTTTTATTGTATTTTTGTTGTTGGGTTTTTGTGTTGCTGCTTTTGTTGTTTTTTTTCTTTTTTGCATAGACTTTACTGTATGTACTACCATATTTATTTCATCTTTATAGCATCCATTGATCTCACTTTTTTTTTTTTTTTTTGTTTGTTCTCTCTCTCCTGTTGGAATTATGATAGATTTTCAATTATTATTTACCTATCTACTTTGTTCTGACTATTGTTCTCATCTTTCTTGCCATATTTTGGTTGTTGTACGCTCTGGCCTTCTTCAGGTGATATATGTTGGAATTAAACCCTTTATTCCATCCACCAGGGCAGATTGTTCTAGTTCCTCGTGTCATCCCTTTTCTGGATATCTCAGTTTCAGTTATTTTCCACATAACCCAGTGGATTGAAAGCATTGGTTGAAGTAATCCAGTGACTTGACCCAAAGAATTGTGAGTTAAATACCTGACCACAGCAGAGGTGAACAAAACTTTGGATTTGAGTTACTAAAAAGGAAATAACTGAAACTGAGATATTGAGAAAAGGTATGGCATGTGGAACTAGAACAATCTGCCCTGGTGGATTAAGTTAAAAGTTAGGTTCAAAATTCCAATGAATATCACCTGAAAAAGGCCAGAGCATACAACAGCTGAAATGTGAATATGTCAATAAAGATGAGGACAATAGTTTGAACAATGTAAATAGTGAAAATAGTTACAATACCTCATCTCGGAAATATAGACAGATATTATTTAACTCGAGAAATTTTTAATGTTTCCTTTCTAACGTGTGTTGTTGTTGCTATTTATGTAAAAGTTTATTTTAGTGATATTTAGAGATTTACTTAGCTCATCTCCCTAAAACAGTGTTTCCCAAACAGCATGGCATGCCTCATAGGTGCTGCAAAAAAGGATAGCAGGTGAGGCGGAATGATTGAAAAACAATCAAAGATTTAGAAACAGTTTTAAAAAATTCATATACCAAAAATAAACATGATTTCAAAATTTAAAATATTATTATGGATTATTTGTAATTGCATGGATGAGTCCCAGTATAAGTAGTTATAAATAATTATTTACTGATTTTATCATTGGGATATTTTTCCATTATATCAAGTATTAAGAATATAGTAACCAGGGTCTGCAAATTGGAGGAGAGAGTTATCAATCAGAATGACTTTAAATCAGCGGTTATCGCCCTTTAACTCACTCTCTGCTTTTTTTTAAATGTACTTTTTGTCATATAAAATTTGAGGTGTGAGCAAATTTTCATTCCAAAAATGTGCACTAGAGAAAAAAGTTTGGGAACCACTGCCCTAAAGAGACAAGAAATTTTATGATATTCTGACCGTATAAATCATGAACAGCTTCCCTGATGTAGGGCCACTTGTACTTGGTGCTCTTTTCCCTAATTGCATGTCTCTAGTTTACCTGCAACAGCGTCAGACCTGACTTGCACATCCACCACAATTATCCCTTAACGAGTTAGTCTTGTGGTCCAGCTTACTCATACTACACTCTGGAAATGAGGCTCCATGATGATGATGTTGATTCTTTTTGAGAATCTGCACCATGTTTAGTACAAAGTTATTGTGATACTTAATCTGAAATTTGCAGGCTTGAGCAATGTAGCTCAGGATTATCAGTATTGCCAAAACACTTAGACCTAGCATCAAGTGTCTACCCACCACGAGATAACTGAGGTACAGCCTTTGATAAATCCTCATTGCCTCCTGGAAATCAAAGCTGGACAAGATGGCTGGTGGCTTGATCAAACCAGGTGTCGACAGCCAAGATCTAGTCATATTCCTGTTGTACTAATCTTCAACCTGGAACTCATGGGTGTTCCTTAATAATTCTTTGCAGCATATTGCTATCAGACTTCACACAGTGGGATCTTTGCCACAATTCATACAAATTTTATTATATATATATATATATATATATATATATATATGAATGAATATGAGTTTGTAACCCTGGGTTTCACACTTATGTAATCCTCAGATAAACCGATTTAATTCTTAAAATTTGAGACTATTTACAATTGAATTGCATATGTATGATATGGATACATGTCTGCATTGTTTATATATATATATATATATATATATATATATATATATATATATATATATATATTTGTGCGAACCATGATGCCTACACCTGTGTATACCCCACCACCAAATATAATGAAACAAAGTCTGACATAAATAGACTCAAATTTTAAGAAATAAATCAGTTTGTCTGAGGATCACATAAGTATGGAACCCAGAGTTACAAACTTATATCCATTCAACTAAATATGTTCATGCTATCATTGATATTAAGTGCTTTCCATTAAGCACCACACATATATAATTTCTATATATATTTTATATATATATAGGGGGGATGTAGGTTTGAACCTTACTGGGAGGCATATCTTCTTTATTAGGACTCTTTAATGTACAAGCTGGTAGATGTCAATTTACACTGTTTAAAAACAGGAATGGCTACTCAAATCCTTTGTATTCCCTAAATATAATATTTAAGCAGTAAGAAATATGTTTGTACAAGTTGAGTATCCTTTATTCGAAAATCTGAAAATCCCCAAAACCTAAAAGTTTCTCGGATGCTGACATGATTTGCCACAAATGGAAAATTTCAGAAAGCCCAGCTAAGTAGCCTATGTTAACCCCAGGTTTTTAGCAGTTGTCACAGCAACACCTTCGTTCATGGATTACTTTTTCCTGCTCAGATATTATTCAAAATGTAAAAACGGCCTGCATTTATATATTTTTTGTAAGTAGTGATCATGCTTTTTGTATATGTACAGAAAATACAAAACATTATTTTTACATGAAATCTTAATCTCACCACTTAAACATCAGTGTGAACATTACATAACTATCATCATTACCTGTATATAGACAAAATTTATTAAATTTTACATAAAACTACCTTCAGAGTATAAGTTGCGTTATTAAATGTAAAGGGATCTCGTGTTTATGCTTTGTTTCTGTTCCCAAGCTGTCCCATTTTATAAATGCTATATACAAATTAAATAACCTGGATTCCAAAATCAAAAAAAAAAAAACATCTGAAAATTAAAGCACTTTCAGTTCCAAAACATTTGAATTGGTTTTTAAAAATTTGTTCTGATTATCCAGGATAATGGGTGAAAAATGTTTTGGTGTGTTATTCTTCTTTGTTTCAGTCTGTATAAATCTTGGCTGGTGCAGGAATGGACAGCATCAGCCATTTCTTAACGAAAAGGTTGACATTCTAAATTGAGGTTGCAAAATCACTGTTTTGTGATGAGGAAAATGTTACTCATCCTTTCAATAATGGGAGTGCTATCAAGAAAACAATTGTCATTGAGAAAATTTGGCCAATAATTTCAAGGGACAACATCTCTGCTCAGGACAGTCTTCAAATTATCCAAGATTATATACTGAATCCTCAAGTTTAATTGTATAATTGCATTACATTGACATTTAGATGTTTCAATTAATTTTTATTTCCTGCATTTAAGGATGCTCTTTCTTTTTTTTTTTTTTTTTTTTTTTTCTCCAAGAAAGAAGAGAAATAGTTTATACATTTTTATTGGTCTGATGACTTAAAGGCTTACAGCATGAAAGCACTGATTCCCATATGATCACAAGTTAAGCAATGTCAAGCCAGGTCAGTACCTAGATGGGTGGTTGCTTGGAAATACCAGGTGTTGTAAACTTTGATATGCAGGTGGTATAAAGGGCTTACAGCCACATCGTGTTGAAACACTAGTTCTTGTACAATCACTGAAGTTAAGCAATGTTGAGCCTGGTCAAGTACCTAGATGGGTGACAGCCTGGGGATACCAGTTGCTATAAACTTGGAAGTGTGGGTGGCATAAAGGACTTACAGTCATATCATGTTGGAACACTGGTTCTTGTACAGTTATCCAAGTTAAGCAACAACAAGGATGGTCAGTACCTAGATGGGTGACTGCTTGGAAATACCAGATCCTGTAAACTTTTAAAGTGTGTAAGTGGTGTAATGGATAACAGCTTGGAATTGTTAATTGGAGAGCCAGATTCCAATTGGGTTTGTTATATTCACTTTAAGCGCAAATACCCTTGGGAAAGGTATGAATCCACCTCTTCTTCCCCTTGTTATGGGTTAAATAGTGAGACTTGTATCTTATCTCAAAAAAAGAAAAAAAACAAAACCTTTCAATCTAAAAATATTTTATGGCTTTTAATAACCTGCAAAGGATTGTTAAGATGTTAAAACAAATCAATCAATCAATCAATCAGCTAACTTAAAGGATTTAAAAAAATAAAAACTTCCTAGTTCTTTTATGATATTTACTAATTTTTTATTTTTTTTTGTGTGTGTGTGTTCATCCTGAACATAATTTTGTTTCTAACAATATTTAATCCTTTAAAGCCCATGTTCCATTTTTAGAATCGTGAGCATTAATAAATTATAGGAAGAAACCTAGAATTAATGTTGTGTGATTTAGAAATCTATACTACTTTTTATGAACCTATAATTAATATTTTTTATTTAATATAAACCTATAATTAATACAGTTATATATAAAGCATTTGAGTGTTGGTAGTGATAAGAGTGTTTGATGTATATTAACAGAACTAAAATAAAAATAATAAAATAAATTTTTATACTCATAGTAAATATATTTTTTTTCTTGCCATTAACACAATTTTTCAAAAATAGACTGGATTCCAAAATCAAAAAAAAAAGTAAGTCAGTGTCCTTCACCAGATTTTTCCATCATTCCTTTAATTCACGAAAAAGCTCATCTTCTGTGTTAACTTTCCTATTACGGGCAAACTTGTCCATTATCGCCCTAAGGTTTTCAATTGGGTTGACTCTGACTAGAATTTAGTCAAAAGCAGCCATGAAGAATTAAAGCTGTTATTAAAGCAAAAGGTTACCAACAAAATGCTAAATCATTTTTTTGACTTGTTGAGAAATATGGGTAAATAGCAGGACAGACTGGGTTTTATAGCCTTGGATGGCAACTGGTCTACCACAGAAAGAAATGGCAATCTACTGCAGGAAAAAATCTGCCTCATCAGTCATGTATTGAAAGATACATGATCGTCTAAGCATATATCACACATGGTACATAAATGACTGACTGATAATGTACATATGTACACCTGTATTAATACCCTGTATTAATAAATGAATTCTATTACTCACTTATCTTGGTAAAAATACAAAAATCGACTTTCTATGAGTGCATTCACTTTTTGGCTCATACTTGGGTATATGAAACTCATCAGCCCAGGCAGGTAGTTCATCAAAGAGAAGGAAAACTCTAATTTTAAACATCTTCTGCCTCACGACCATATCCAATCATGGGAAAAGCTTCAGGAGTAAAACCTGATAACAAATCAGGAGCCAAAGTCCCTAAGTTTGTCAGTTCGATGTTATATTCAACTTTGTTCTGGCAATTCTTGCAACAATCCTGGTGCCAAGTTGTATTGGCCACTGTCTGTTCCTTGGACAACATTAGTGATGTGGAGAGGGGAGATGTGCTGCATGGGCAACTCCTGATCTCTCATCAAACCCTGCCCCCCTTGTCTGCGGACACTCCAGTGTTTCATCAGACATAACAGATGCTGCACCACAATTAGCAGCTAAAAATAACTTTTTGGACACAGATTCAAGGTCTCTCAAGATTGACAGATGTCACATATATTACAGTTCAAAATTTTAAGGCCACTCCGTGTGATTTTTCAAATTGGACTAAAAAGTAGTTTTGTACTTTAAATGAGAGAAAATTATTCTAAACGGTTTAAAAAAAAAAAAAAAAAGTGATTTTTTTTATTAGAAATTTTATGATGACAAAAAGAAAAAAAAAATTTTATGGTTAAATTTTGCTCTCATCAAAATCTCCTTTAGCCTTGATTACTACAGCACAAATTTTTGGCATTGCAAAAGTTTCTCGAAGTATAAGTTTGATCATTGATTCTATTCTTTTTTCAATGACTCTTAAGAGCTCTTTTTATTTTATTTGTTTTTTCACTCTACTGTCAAGTTCATCCCATGCTAATTGTGAGGGTGGGTTCAAACTTTTGAATTGTAGTGTGTGTGTGTGTGTATATATATATATATATATAACAACAGTCAGTTTTTGATCTGCACCTGATGATTACATCATGCATCAAACTCAGAAGTGTGCTACTGGTGAGGCAGGGGGTGAAAATGAAAATATAATATATATATATATATATATATATATATATATATATATGTGTGTATATATATATGGGTATGTGTGATTAATACAAATATGAAATTTGTTACTTAGCTGATACACACACAAAATTAAACCTGGGTATTTTTACACATATAATTTATTCCTTTGTAAAACAATCATGTAATTTATTCCAGGTTTTTATATTCATTTTTTATAGTTAAAACTGGATTTTATGAGATTGTGGTGCAATGGATCTTGGCTTGAAATGAGAAATCGAAGAACTGAGTTCCAATTCTAGTAGGGTTCGTTACTTACATTGTCCTTTGAAAGTATGAATTCACCACTTCTCTCCCCAGCTATGGGTTAACTAGCGGGACAAACTGAGCCCTATAGCTTTGATTGGCAAATAGTCTACTGCCGAAAAAAATGGCAACTTACTGTAGGAAAATTTTCTGCCTACTCCATCATGAATTGAAAGAGACATTATTGCCCAAGCACATATCACATATGGCAGTTATGTAGTTAAACCTCTGTCGTAATTTCTAAGGAAGATCAAACCTATAAAATACTCTTTTCTATTTTTTTTTTTTTTTTCTTTTATTGAAATTACTTTGAAAATGGCAGTGATCCTTTTTGAACAAAAATTTTTTTTTTCTTTCTTTCTTCTTTGCTTTTCTTTCTTCTTTGCTTTTCTTTCTTTTTGCTTTTCTTTCTTCTTTGCTTTTCTTTCTTCTTTGCTTTTCTTTCTTTCTTCTACTTTCTTTCTTCTACTTTCTTTCTTCTACTTTCTTTCTTCTACTTTCTTTCTTCTACTTTCTTTCTTCTACTTTCTTTCTTCTACTTTCTTTCTTCTACTTTCTTTTCTTCTACTTTCTTCTTCTTTCTTTCTTCTTCTTTCTTTCTTCTACTTTCTTTCTTCTACTTTCTTTCTTCTACTTTCTTTCTTCTACTTTCTTTCTTCTACTTTCTTTCTTCTACTTTCTTTCTTCTACTTTCTTTCTTCTACTTTCTTTCTTCTACTTTCTTTCTTCTACTTTCTTTCTTCTACTTTCTTTCTTCTACTTTCTTTCTTCTACTTTCTTTCTTCTACTTTCTTTCTTCTACTTTCTTTCTTCTACTTTCTTTCTTCTACTTTCTTTCTTCTACTTTCTTTCTTCTACTTTTCTTTTCTTCTACTTTCTTTCTTCTACTTTCTTTCTTCTACTTTCTTTCTTCTACTTTCTTTCTTCTACTTTCTTTCTTCTACTTTCTTTCTTCTACTTTCTTTCTTCTACTTTCTTTCTTCTACTTTCTTTCTTCTACTTTCTTTCTTCTACTTTCTTTCTTCTACTTTCTTTCTTCTACTTTCTTTCTTCTACTTTCTTTCTTCTACTTTCTTTCTTCTACTTTCTTTCTTCTACTTTCTTAATCAATATTTTGCATTTATGAATTTCAGTGTTTGTTGATTGTTATCCCCACCACCAGAATCTACCAATACCGTGCATGCTTTATTTGTTAAAAAAAAAAAAATTAAAAAAACAATGCATCATTTGCTTGCTCTTTGTAGTTCTCTTTCTAAATTTTTGAGATATACTCATGAGTGAAATTCATTTTTGTTTACATTTCAGAAGTGGATGAAGAACAGGTGTCGGCTGTCTGAGATGGTCATGTCTGTTTGGACCCAGCAACCTGAGGTGTAGGTGCGAACTCATACATACATACATAGATAAATATATATATATATATATATATATATATATATATATATATATATAATTTTTTTTTTTTTTTTTTTTTTTCTTCTTAAGGGGATTGTTGAGCAGCACCTGCTGACACCTCCTCTATCTTCTCCAAGTGTTATTGCATTTTTTTTTTTTTTTTTTTTTTTTTTTTTTTTTGTAATTTTGTGACCCTTCATTTGTTTTCTCTTAACCCATTTGTCTATTGCTTATTTTGGCATCTGGAGATCAGACTGTAAGCATTTATCAATATCACTGCTGCTTTGGAACTGTTTACTATGAAAAATTGTGCAGCAGACGTACACACACAAGGCTTCTTCAATCCCCTAGTTTTCAATATATATATATATATATATATATATATATATATATATAAGTTTAAAATCTTTGTGGGAGAAAAGTGCTCAATATCGGAGATACACCATTTGTAATTATAGACAGTGTGGACATAAGATATGATGATCACTAGAGGCATGAAACTGCGAGTTACCATGCAGTGTTGATTTCAATGTCCAGACTGTCTATATATAATTTCTTTTTTTTTTTTTCTTTTTTTTTTCTTCAGAGTTTTTAATTGTCAATTATTAGTTCCTTATTTAGATGTTATGGGAATATAACTTGGCATTGTGTAGCCCATTGCTGAAATGGACTGGGAGTCACAATGCCAAAAAGGACTAAGCTATTGACTGTACCACCGTCTTCATCTTCAAATCACCCCCGTCAATCCTGGATATCAAACTAACCATAAAAGAAGAAAAAAAAAGTTTGCAAAATCACCCACCATTTTACCATGATGAACATTTTAAATCATCGATTTTTTTTTTTTTTTTTCTTAAATTGATTTAATTTTTTGCTTGAAGACACAATTTGCTGTGCTCAACTTTTACCAAGAAAAGAAAAAAAAACTAGAAGGCACAAACAGACAAAAATGTGGGAAACATTAAAAAAAATAAGAAGAAAGAAAAGTAATATGAGAGAGATGCAACATATAAGAAAGAAAGAAAGAAAAAAAAAGGGGGAGCTGTTAACGTTTTTCGGCATGAACTCTGCTACCCCTGGATTATTGAATTCTTGCTCTTTAGTCTGTCTGCTGGTTGATTAATAAATAACCCAAGCACTTTTCAGGAGGCGTGCCAAGGGAGATAACTCATGCACCATCTACGACAGATCGCTGAAGAACTAATTTGAAATCATCATCAGTTCAAATGTAAAGATAGTTTTCATCTCACTCCACCTCTTGTGTCTCTTAAACTTTATCTTCCGTATCCGGTGGTCCAATGGTAAAAAAAAACAACAAAAAAAAAACATACGCATATATATATCATGAAGCTGAGGTAAATAATATTTTAAAACAACTTTTTTTTTTTTAATGTCATCAAAAAGAACTGACTTGAGTTGATGATCAGTTTATCTGCTGAAAACTTATGTGCCAAGGTTGCTCCCCATTCTCCCCTGCTATGACCCCCCCCACGCCCAAATTCCTCTTAATAACCTATGACCAGATCCTGTAGTGAAATTGTCATGTGTGCCCAGTTACACTGCATTGTATTGTGTTTCTACCCACCCAATATCAACCCCTGTCTATATTTTTTGGTTGGCTTCTGTTGTAACACTGCATGTGAAAGAACATTTTAAAAAAAAAAAAAAAAAAAAAAACACGGAAAGGAAAGAAATTGCTATCTTCATGGCTTTGTGGAAACACGCAAAAAATAAATAAAAACAAAAGAAAAGAGAAAGGATTTTAGTGATGGTAGTTAGGAATACAACCTGTTTTCTACGAGAGAAAATAAAATTAAAAAAAAAAAAAAATTAAAGAAAAAAAAAAACAAATCTACCCTCACTCTATAATTCTTTCCAGGTGAACAGTAGTGACGCCATATTGTACAATGGGCAAGTGCATTAATCCATCACCCTCCCTGCATTTGGGGAGGGGGGTCTGCGTAAGATTGTTGAGTGTCGTGCTGTCATCGTCGTTTGGCATGGGAGACACCAGTGAAGGGCAGGGGTGGGGCACCATACCATGACATAGGCTTATTTATTTTGTGGGACAGGGTTGGGGACAGAAGGCCCAAGTTTTGTGAAAGAGAAGGAAAAGGAGAAACAAAAAAAATTGCAGTCTCACTTTTGGTAGGGAGGGAAAGGACTGAGCAATTTTAATCATTAAAACGTAGGAAATTACTTTGTTGACAAATCAGAAATCTTCCATGACAAGGGGAGACAAATCCTCCCATTACAGAAATAATACCATCTTGTATATTTTTAGTTTTATCATCCCATAACATACATATATATATACACACACACACATATATATATATATATATATATATATATATATATATATATATATATATATAATAAAACACTTAACTTTAAACATCAGTCCACAGAAATATAATATACAGGGTGGGCAAAAATATTCCCCCCCCCCATAATGTTAAGACATTGGTGACTTCATCTTGCTAATGTTTTATCATTATGTGGGAAGTATTTCTGCCACACCCTGTATATACACTATAGGCCAACACTTTGTTTACCCACCCTCTGGATTTAATAATTAGTTAGTTTCATGCCTTCTTTGGGTTAATTAACTCTTGCTAAGCCAAAAGGCTGAAACTATTTTAACTCGTAAGTGCATGGCAACCATTTAGAAAAGGTAAAGTGTAAAATTTAAAATCTTCCAACCCTAAAATTAGATCAGCCCTAACCATTAGTGAACAGATTAGACACAAAGCATTAAAATTTAAAGGAAAATTTATGCAGCAATGGGTTAATTTCATTATTACTATCATTGAATACATAATAAAACCTTTCTGGAAGAGAATGTCTTTCTGGCCTGAAGCCAGCTCCTAAATTTGTTTTGAAAGAGGCATGAAACCTTCATTTTTACGCAATTCTTCAAAATCCAGAGCCCCCCCAAAAAAAAAAAAATCTATATATATATATATATATATATATATATATATATATATATATATATATATAAAATTGTGAATTTTGATTAGTTTTTATTTACCTGACATGTTTTCTTTTTGGTCATCAGCTGTTTTGGATTAGCTTCTAAAAATACAAATGCATAATTTTTGTAATTTAGTGTGAAACTGAGAAGTGGTAAAATTTTAATTTTTTACATTTTTGGGTGAATTTTTAATTTTTGTAATTTAGTATAAATCTGAAAAATAAGAAAGAAAATTTGTTTTAGATCTCCTTTATTTATTTATTATTTTTTTTTAATGAGTAAAATAAGGTGCTTCCTTATATAAGAATGTGAATACTTGTAAAATCTCTTAAAATAAGAATTAGTCATTTTGGCCAGTGTTGTTTGGTATCTTGCAGAAATATTTCACCCCATTATACATTAACAAGTGGATACATAAATATTATTTTAACAAAATATTTCTCCTGATTCTCAAGTGAATTATAAAATACTTTTTTTTTTATTATTATTTCTTGAAATTCTTGCTGCCAGGTATAATTTAAATTTCAATCTACTTATTTATAAGAAACGTTGGAAGTTTCTCTTTCATGGAACAAAATTTGCCCTTAAGTGGAAAACATCTTTCGTGTTGAAGATGGCCATCATTTCAGCCTTTGGGTTGTGCATTTTAATCAGCTAGCCTAAAGTTACTGAAAACTTTGTATGGCCAATACTTTCTTGTCTGGCAAGATTATGGATCTGTGGCAAGGTGTAGTGAATGTCAGTCACATTTTTTCACATCTTTCTCAGCTTACAGAATTTTTTTTTCTCCTTTTTATTTAAAAAAAAAAAAAAAAGAACCTTTTCTGTCAGTTGATAAATTCTACAAGTGCTCCTCTTACACTGCCTTGTGTCATTTGGCCAATCCATCGTTTGGTGGTCATGGCCATGGATTTTTAAAATGTTTCCACTTGAGGGAATTTTGTCCCTTACCCTTGTCTTTCCTTCCTACCCCCTCCTTATCTTTCCTCTCTGTGGCCCTCCTCCTATCTTTCCTCTCTGTGGCCCTCCTCCCTATCTTTCTCTTTCCTCCTCCTATCTTTCCTCTCTGTGGCCTTCCTCCTATCTTTCCTCTCTGTTTCCTCCTATCTTTCCTCTCTGTGGCCCCTCCTCCCTATCTTTTTCCTCCTCTCTGTGGCCCTCCTCCTATCTTTCCTCTCTGTGGCCCTCCTCCTATCTTTCCTCTCTGTGGCCCTCCTCCTATCTTTCCTCTCTGTGGCCCTCCTCCTATCTTTCCTCTCTGTGGCCCTCCTCCTATCTTTCCTCTCTGGCCCTCCTCCCTATCTTTCCTCTCTGTGGCCCTCCTCCTATCTTTCCTCTCTGTGGCCCCTCCTCCCTTTCTTTCTGTGGCTCTCCTCTGTCTTTCCCTCTGTCCTCCTATCTTTCCTCTCTGTGGCCCCTCCTCCCTATCTTTCCTCTCTGTGGCCTCCTCCCTATCTTTCCTCTCTGTGGCCCTCCTCCCATCTTTCCTCTCTGTGGCCCTCCTCCCATCTTTTCCTCTGTGGTATCTTTCCCTCTGGCCCTCCCTATCTTTCCTCTCTGTGGCCCTCCTCCTATCTTTCCTCTCTGTGGCCCTCCTCCTATCTTCGTCGCAGTCTCCCCCACCACTCATGTCTCACTCCTCTGGCTCCTACCTCTGCCTGTGCCTCTGTTTCCAACTTCTGTCACTCACAAATGCCTGCACATCTCCTCTCTACCTCCCACCTCTCCTGTCTGTTTCCTACCATTCCCATGGCTCCTACCTCTGACTTCCATGTCTCTCACCTGCCTCTCCCACCTCCACCTGCAACTCCCCCATTTTTCCTGTTTCTCTCCACTTCACCCTGTGTGTATCTCTCTCTCAGCTTGCGTCTCATTTCCCTCATATAAAATGAATTAACATAATGTTCAAACCAGTTTACTAATTTTAAAATTTAATTTTATTGTTCTAGTTGTGAGATCCTCTTTTAATTGGGGAGGCCTCTTTTAATTGAATTTCCTAACAAAGGACATCATTTAGATCATACTCAACAATTCAGCGTTGTCAAAATAAATTTTAAAAAAAATTATGTACATTTACTTTAGAGACATTTTTATTCAAGTCATTTTGAATTTTTTTTCTTTGTAGATTCTTAAATTCTATTTTGGTTCAGTCCTGGTCTCTCATTATATTGGCCAGTACTTTCTAATCGGTTGAATATCCCACACATTTGAGGAAGCGGAAAAATTTTAATTGTTTCCTTATATTTTTAATATTCAAATGTTGATTACGATATTAATAACCTCATTTGCCAAAGGTAAGCCATCTTTATGAAAAAGAAGGAACAAATAGCATTTTAGAAATCGGTCATTTATTGCAGCAACTTTGTTTTCTGCACCCCCCCCCCTAAAGATTTTTATTAATATTGTACCAAGTTTGATTATATTTTGTCAATATATGTATGTATGTTTGTTTGTTTATATACTTGTGTGTAATTTTGCACCAATCTGTCTTGACCTCTGGTTAGGTCATTATGCAAACAGATTGAATTCCATTGTAGAAGACGTTCGTTCTTTTAACACCTGTACATTGTTTTTATTTCCAAAAAGGAGCAGTGCTTCTTATTTCTTTGTCTTTAAAATATAGAATCCGGGTGAAGAAATTCCTGTATTGATCCAAGGGAAGGGATTATACACATCAACTGATATAAAAACTCGTATAACTATGATTTATATTAGGCGGAGGGCCTTGCTGTCCCCACTGGTGTCTCCTTCAATCCCCTGTCTATTCAAACTGAAATGAGTGATTTCATTCACCTTTGTTTGATCATTTGACTCTAGCTACACATGTTAAGTGTGTATTTGTGCTAACACAAATGTGTTATCAATGAATGTGTGTGGATGATAGCATCTTTAGGTGCATAAACAACAAATGTAATACGCACGGCTTTTTACCCTATCTAAGGATGGGTCATTAGTGTGTGTGTGTGTGTGTGTGTGTTTTGAATGTATTATATGTAAGTGTGCAAGTGTTATTTACGTACATGGAGGCATAACATCCAAGGTAGATGGCATTGTTTCTGTGTCTGTATATATGCGTGTATGGATGTATATAAGAATAGATAAGATAACCATGTCATTTAATAAAATACCATTTGTACTGAAAATGCTTTGTTTCTTCTTTAACAGTTGTTGTTTTCTTTTTGTTTTGTAACCCCCCCCCCACAAAAAAAAAAAAAATTGATAATCTCTCCTGTTGAGAAAGTCAATTAAAAAGGATTTTGTTTGTGAAACGGTTCATCAAATTCTTAATTTTAGTTTTGTCTAGAAAATAGCATTATGAAATTGTGCTTCCTAACGATAAAACAAAGCTTAATCTCATTTGGATGTGGACCTTACAGTTACATCTGTGATGTCTGAGAGACTGCCCATCTCCTCACTTGGTTGGGTGTTTTTATAACTACCTGTCAAGTGGTTTTTCTCCAATATCATTTTGCTCATAAAAATATCATTTCTTGTCCTAATGTCCTTGATAAAGCCACACTGTTCTTGTCCTATTTCTAGTTTAATTCTAATTCATGCTTTTTTTTCATCAGAATTAAGATTCACTTGGTTATGTGGCCCTTAAACTTGATTGTTCAATGGAGTTCACATTCAAGAATTAAGAAAATGGAAGATAACAATTGACATTGATCTTCAAAAATTTAAATGCAAAGGCAATAAAGCCACTAGGTCGCAAGTACTGAGTGTTAAGAGAATATGAGAAGAAACTACTATTAAGGAGAGAGGACAATAAAAGTACAAGAATTAAGAATGATGATGATTGACATTGCATTTAAATTTTTGAAGATCAAAGGCAATAAAGCCACTAGGATGCAAGGGAGTTACTGAGTGTTAGAGAATATGAAAAAAACTACTAAGGAGAGAGGACAATAAAAGAAGAAGAATTAAGAGGACAAAAGATAATGATTGACATTGCATTTAAATTTGTGGAAATCAAAGTTGACTGGAAAGCAAGAAACCAGAAGAGTTTCACAAGTGTGAGAGAAGAAACTGTTAGTATAGTGCTTACAGCTGCATCTCGCAATTTCAACTGTAAAATTATGAGACCTAGCTGCCAATCAAGTACTGCACTTCATAAAGTCAAGGTAACAAAGAGGGAAGCTCATCAGAACAATTACCATGAAAATATTTATAGAAAAGGTGGAAGGAACTGTTACAGTGGGTGGAAAGTGAGTGAAGCCAAGATGCCAGGTCAGGACCAATAACATTACAGATTTTTCTTTGTATTTTGTCAAGAATTTCTAAATACATAGAAGCACCCGTCCAGATATGGTAATAATATTCAACAAATAGATTCTGGCAAGAAAAATTGTTTAGCATGGCACAATCAACCAACTTTCCTTGTGGCCGACCTAGCAATTGATTCAGTATAAATCTTTCCACTTCGTGTCGGCGGAAAATATTAACCTGATACTGTGCAAGAAGTTTCACTTATTGGCGATTTTGTCCATGCTGAAATTGCTTAAGAATGAGAAAATTTCATGGCCCTCCACAACTTCCTATCAAGTGCAGCTAGCCCGACACATGCTCACCAGGTTTCTCCGATTTCACATTGAGTGTGAAGTACATTCTGCATAATCTTTGATTGGTCAGATTTGTTGATGAGACTTACAAACTTGGAGCCTTAAAAAAAAAAAACAACCTAACTGCTGATTTGTGCTGTTGTTTTTTTAAGGCTCCAAGTCCACCTCTTAGAATTTGTCCCCTGCGACAATAGCCAAGTAGATTGACTTTTAGCACCCTGCATTATTTATGTCTTCCCTTTCCATTGCATTTTTTTTTTTCAATTGCAGTATCCTTATTGTTAATTTCACTCAAAATGGTTTTCTGTTGCCATAGCAGGATATGACAACACAACTATGAAATGCAAACATGCTATTATGAAGTTTAATGTCTTGGTTCATAAATTTGGTGGCATAGTTATTGTGAGATCAATCCCTGGGCCAGTGTGTACTTGTGTTCTGTGAAAAACAGACAAACAATAACTGATCAGTATTTTATAAAAGTAAAACATCCCTGGATATTAATAGACAATCTACTGTGGTAGATTAAATAAAGGGTTCATTTGGACATTCTTTCAAGGTTACTACCCCGAATTGACAACTACCTGATGTAGGCACAACATGATAACAATGTACAACTGGCTACTCATATTTGAGCATACCCATCTATTAGGGCAGCCAGCCGATCCCTATTGCACACGCTTGCTAAGGCACATTTATGTTTATTCAACACCCACAGGGCCTGGCTGGGGTTTATACTGCAAGTATGCTGAGCAGACCTTAGTTACAGTTTCTGGGCAAGAGTGTGTTATCGAGTGTGATCAACAATTTCAACAAGGCCAGCATGCACAAACCAAATGACTTGTGACTTTGTGCTAGCACAGCTATCAACACCGCCTACCAAGGGTTCCATCTGCCCAATTTCACTCACAAGGCTTGGGTATGGTATTGTTTTCAGGTGCCACATCGAGCCCTCCAGTCCAATAACATCAGAAAGTCTCCTTCCTGACAAATCAACCATCGTGAGATTCGAGCCTGGGTCTCATGGTTAAAATGCGAACACATGATGGGGATAGTAGACTGCATGCAAATGATCAAAAATCATCATCGTTGAAATTCAGACAAATTACAATAGCTTTATTGATCTTTCTTTTTCTCTTTGTGGAGAGAGAAAAATAGTCTTTGAATAGTTGACTAGCATGACCTGATAGAGAAAACGTACAAATTGGGATTTAAAAAAATCCCAAATTCTTTTTTCCTGATCCGTGTGGTTAACTATTAACTATAAGTTGTAAAATGTTAGTCAGTTTAGATTTCATAATCTATGTAAAACAGAGAATGTCTGTCCATCCAACCAATTTTGACCAAACTTGGCAATGTAAGAGATAGGTTCTTAGTGTAAAAAATCAATAATTTTAAAAAAAAAAGACAATAATTGAGAAAGACAATCAAAAATCAATAAATTCAACTTTTTTCCTCCGATTTTCTTTAAACTCAGTATGTAGGTTACTTACATCATGACAAGCTCAGTGATACCTCATTTTTATTTCTACGCCATTGCGTTTAGTGAAAAACTGCAAAAAATGAAAAATCAATTTCAATACAAATTGATTTCAACTGAAAACTCCCTCAATTTTCAAGCAATCTAATACAAACTTCACTCAATTGTAGCTAACAATAGGTTGATTGTTTAACAGTCATTTAATTTGATAATTGAGTTTCTTATTTTTTGTTGATCTTTTAACCAATTTTCATCAAACTTAACAATTGCTTTATAAATGTATCCTCTTTACATCCCTGGTAGCACACTGACATTGAATTTGAAAAACTCCAAAATAATTGTGATCTGAAGTGGGTCTTCATGTTGCTTGTTTTACCCCTTCATGTGCTTGTCTAACTTCGATTGAATAAATATAGACTCCCGTTATATCAGTATCTGCATTAATTCAAGATGTTTTTTAATGAAAGTACATTAAAGTAATTGAAGAAAATTCTATTATATCTAAACCTGATGCTGTTTTTGCTCCATTCTTTCTGATCGACCAGCTGGGTATGACTGCTAGTTAATTAAATATTTCAATCAGCTGTTTCAAGTGCTATTTACATTCAACTATCTTCATCTTTATTGTCATCACAATATTTCAGCTGTTGTACCCTCGACTCTTTAGCTGTTTGTCAATCCAAATAACTTTCAGGGAATTTCAAATTGGACCCTTTAATCTATAGTGTGTAGAATGTTCTAGTTCCACAGTCCATGCCTCAGGATGTCTTGTTCTTATTTAGTACTTAGTTATTGTTCACTCCTTTTTTCCACTGTGTCTACAACTGTACTACCTGACCCAGGGATTGAACTCAGTATTACAATGTCACAATATTCTAGAAGGCCAAGGGAACACAATATCGTAAATTGTGATATTAACAACAACAATAAGGACATTAGTCTATATATGTAAATAATTCTTCATCCCAGAAATTCAGACATTTTGAATGGTCTGTCTTCAGTTTTATTTTTCCAGGAAAAAAAAATTGTGAAAATTCATTTAATAAGTAAGTATTTTATTTATTTTTAACATTTTTCCAAACACTACTCAGAAATGTGATACACTAAATTACATTATGCTATGCTATGCTATTCTATGTGTAATTTTCATATATTTTATCTCTTTTAATGTTATTTGTGAAAGGGAGATAACTCTTGCTGTTTTCCTTGCACGATTGACATTAAAAGAAACTACAAAAGTTTAAGAAAATATTTTTTCACTGAATTTGAGAAACTCGTCTTACAGGTTTCCATAGAATTGTTTACGATAGATTCCATTGACTGTAGTTTGTCAAGAACTGGTATTCAATGTTTTGTTTGTTTTTTTTTCTTTAATTGTCTTGATCTAAATCCTAAGTAATTATGTTCATGTATTGTGTTTAATAGTTATGAGAGTGTGCTGAAAAGTTCTTTCTCCCCCCTCAACCTACTTCACAAAATCTGACCAAACCAAACATTGTCCAGTCTAGTTTTTCTTCTTTTTTTTTTTCATTTCTTTTAGGATCTTTCTAGGATTTTTCTTTTTTTCTTTCTTTCTTTTTTTCTTTTTTTTTTTTTTTTTTTTTCTTTCTTTTTTTCTTTCTTTCTTTTTTTTTTCTTTCTTTCTTTTTTCTTTCTTTCTTTTTTTTTTTTTTTTTTTTTTCTTTCTTTTTTTTTTCTTTCTTTCTTTTTTTCTTTTTTTTTCTTTTCTTTCTTTCTTTTTTTTTTTTTTTTCTTTTTTTTTTTTTTTTCTTTTTTTTTTTTTTCTTTCTTTTTTTTTTCTTTCTTTCTTAGGTTTATTTTTTAGTTTACTTACAAAAACCTGACAAAAGACAAAACCTGTTTTTCATGCTGCAACTCTGCTGAGCAGACCTTAGTTACAGTTTCTGAGCCAGAACACATAATCTGACATGATCAGTTCTTGAACAAGTCTAGTACATTCAAACCCTCGGTCATGATGACTTGTGACTCTGTGCTAGATATCTTCCAAACAGTTTTGACTACCTAATTTAACTCAGAAGACTTATGTCAACCTGTGTTTGCAAGCACTTAAATGTCATATGCTGAGATTGCACCCACAAGCTAAAATTAGCAAGAAGTTAGTTTCTGGACAGATTGACCATGGGAAGGTTTGAGTTTGGGTCTCATGTTTTGGGCATTAATGTTCTAAACACTTGGCTGCATGCACATCCATACATTAATACAATACACCTTGAGTATTAGCTTTTTTGTAAATTTTGCTGTTGCCAATGCAGGTGAGTTATACAAAATTATCTCCCTTGTCACAGTAACGGCATCTTGATAGCAATGGTGGACTTTTCTAAGATGTGTACAAAATGGAGGTGAGAAAAACTGGTAAGTATTTAAAAAGAAAGGAAAAAAAATGCTGTCACCTATTTGACACTATGCATAAATTATTTTATACTAAAGGACATTAGTGTGGCTTAGTCTCCAAAAACTATATTTAGACCCTTTATTTTATATATATATATATATATATATATATATATATATATTCTGGTTCACCATATTCTATGGAAGGATTTGATAAAACTGTATGCTTTATATAAGCAAATATATTTGTAATAGTTAATAAAAAGTTATTATTAATTATTTATTTAAATTTTAAAGTTATTAATAAATTATTTATTTATGCAAAAACCAAATATTAAAAAAAAATAGGCTTAACAAACATTAAATGAGTTTCAATTTATATAGTGTGTGGCAGAAATATCTCCCACATAATGGTAAGCTATTAGTAAAATGAAGACACAAAACACTACTAATGTCCTTTATGTTGAATGCATTTCTACTGCCCCCTGTATAAAATCTTCATCCAGTTGTTTTTTTAAAATAATCAGTGGCAAAAAGTTCACTTGAAAATAAGAGATTAAAAGAATACAATCTTCATGAAGAGCTTGTTTGTTTTAAAATTACATTTTTCTAAACAAGAAAATAAAATCTGGAATAATTGTTATTTATGAACATTCAGGATTAGCAGCTCTCAATATTTATGTGACCAGGAGAAATACATTGAAAATACTTTTAAGCTCTTTTAATTCTAATTATTTCATATTCAATGCAAAACAAAAGCCTCATAGAATATTTCAAAAGAGAAGAGTGAACCATTCTAACAACTCCAGCGAATCAAAATATATTATCCTACCCACAAACTCTATCACAACTACAACTGAAAAGAATTCTCAACTCAACATAAAATTTGTTACAGCGACTTCTAAAACAAAAAAAATAAAACTTAATAAAAAACAAAATAATAAGCTAAAATTTGAAGGAGGAATTTACTCCATAACCTTATTGCCACAAGGAATACATTAGAGAAACCTCAAGAAATTTAAATAAAGATTATATGAACACAAAGGAACTTTTAAATGACACACTTGATGCATTATTTGGTCACTATAATGAGTATGACCCTAATTATTAAAAAAAATGCTGAAAATATATAGAAAGTGCCTTAATTGCTAGATCATCTATAGTAAATTTTTTTGTCCAGATTCTTACAACCCTTCACTTTTTTTTTTTTCTTTTTTTTTTTGGTAAATCTCTTATCACAATATGCAGTACTTTGATTTGAAAAAATGGGTAGTCTCTGATGTCTGCTGCTTCCCACGCCAACTGAGCTACAAGTGTGCCACACAGCATGCTGCACACCTTCATGAAGATTAGTGGGAGGAAGCAAAAGAAAAAGGTTTCCAACTCGGAATTATGAGTACTTCAAAAAAATAGGCTAACAAAGCACCCCATATGACTAACGCAGGGTTAATAATAAAAAGGCTAAAAATAAAAGCATCACAAAATTGAAACCAGCCAGACTACGTGCCCAGACAGAGGAGGCATGGTGTAGTAATGGATATTGGCTCGGATTGAGGAATCGGGGAGTTTGAATTCCATTTGAATACGTTACATTCACTTACGTGCTAATACCTTTGGGAAAGGTATTAATCCTCTTCTTCTACCCCCAGCTATGGGTAAGTAGCAGGACAGAGCAGGTTCTATAGCCTTGGATGGCAACTAGTTTACCACAGAAAGAAATGGCAACCTACAGTGAGAAAAAATCTGCCTCGTCAGTCATGTATCAAAAGATACGCATGTATCATGCATGGCACATAACTGACTGACATGCCTAGACGTATGTAAAAAAAAAAAAAAAAAAATTTAATTCTTTATGCTAACATTTTCACATTTTCTATCAGTGCATAAATATAACAAATGCTTGTGTTTTTATATTTATCTTCATACACGTAATTCCATCAACCAAAACATTACTTTAGTCCGATGAAGTCCTTTGACACATGTTGACAAAACCTAATTAGTTTTTTTCCAATTGGTCATATATTTGCCAAACACTTTTGCATGAAAGACAATACACTTGTTTTCCTTATAAAAATTTCCAATAGAACAATATTAACTATAAAAAAATCTTTAAAAGAAGAAAATGAAAAATTATTGAATTAAAATGAAAAGAAAACATTTTAATTTATAATTAGCATCATTTCTACGGGGTCTCCCAAAAGTTGCCAAGAGATTTCAAAATTAAATAATTCCTTTATTTTTTTAAAACTTTAATTCCCAATTCCATACAATTAACTGCATAAATTTAAGTGTGCTACTAAGTTGGCATCTCGGTCTCACCCTTTCATTGTTGAATCAGTCAAATGTAACTGCCTCTTCTACTCCAACAGCTTCTTCTCTTGCACTTCCTGGCAGTGGAACTCCCTTCCTCTTACTTGGTTCCCTGATAACTATAATCTTCAAAAATTTAAATCTAATGTCAATCAACATCTTTTGATAACTTGATCTTGATCCCAGTCCTTCTCTATGTCCTTTCCTCAAACACACCTTTTTACTCTTGCTCTCACTCTTTGTAACCCCTTGCATGCTAGTGGCAGTCTCACGTTGCTTGGGGTGAAATGCTTACATATATATAGTAGATATGAGAAATAAATTTACACTAGTTGAGAAAGATTATATCCTTTAAATGATGTCCATTTTCAGCATTGCACGAATGTGCCGTTTATAAGTGCTTCAGATTCTAGTATTTTAGTTTCTGCCTGAACGTTGTTCTTCAACTTCTGGTATAAATTTTTTCTTTGAGACAGCTGCTCCATCGGAAGAAATCAGAAGGTTTTCAGATCCAGGGAATATGGTGGCCAGTTCATGCCATAGTTGCAAGAAATTCTATCTCCAAAAATTTGACTGGCCTTTGTTGTATGAATTGTTGCACCATCTTGTTGGAAACACATCAAGTTTATCTTGAGTGATGGCCTGAAGAAATTTTCCATCATAGATTGATATTGATCTGCTGTGATAGTAACATGGTTGTCAACATTTTCCAATGACCTCTTCTGATGTTATTCCACACCACACTGCGAACTTAATGGTCTACAATTATTTTGGGTAATCACCTTAACATTTTCAGTCCACCTAATCCTGCAATTTTGTCTACCATTCAAATGGCAATATGCTCTATCCAACACTATCAGTTTGTTGATAAATTTCACCTCTTAATTGGTGTATTCCCCAGTTGCACCCTGACCTGAGTGGTAGCACCTGTTAGGGTCCCAGCTATGGGCAAATAGGTGAACCCCCAAACTGGGTTCAAAACACTATGAAAGTATAAAAAATACATTTTTATAGTAAAAATACCAGAAATATATTTTCATAGTAAATAAATTACCAGCAAAACATTTTTGTAAAAAAAAAAAAAAAAATATATATATATATATATATATATATATATATATATATATATGAAATTACTAATGATCTCAAGAAAATTAAATTTTGGCATTAAATGACTTGTAAGGAGTTGATATTATGCTAAACAAACAATTATGTGCAAATACCCTTGAGAAAGATATGCATCCAAATCTTCTCCCCCAGTTATGGGTTAATTAGTAAGACTTATATCACTGAACTATTATTATCTCAACAAAATATTTTCTGGTTTTAAATAACCTGCAAAGTGTTGATAAGCTATAGGAAAAGAACGGTTGTTCTCTAGACAATGTTTTTCCTTTTTTTAATATTCTTTCACACACCCCTGCATCTTAGTGTCTTTATTGCCTTATTTGAGATGTAACGATTAAAAATTTAAAAAAAAATTGTTTATCAAAACCTTCTTTGGAACCTGTCAAATCAGAATATCTCATTTTAAGGGCACAAATGTTGTAGTTTCAGCCAAACACAAAGATTTAGAATAGAGTGAATAATTCTTTTCTTTACATATTTATTTAAATAGTGATAAAAAAATTAATTCTTATGAATAATGTTATAATAAATTAAATAATGTTGATTTTAAATATGAATATTATTAATATTATTTCTACATTATTGGTGATATTTTGATATACTAGAAATTTATTGCAGCACACTGTCTTTACAGTAATTTAGTATTGCTGAAAGTATTGAACCTTTTTTGTCGAGATTTACCAACTCAACTCTCTGGAATGTGTTTATATTTACAAAGCTACTACCATTCATTAAGTTTTTTTACCAGAATGAAATATATGCAAAACTGAAAAAAAAAAAAGATATGCAAAAAACAATATTTCATTTTTATTAAATAAGTATTTGTTATTTTAAACATTAAATTATTTTTAAAATCATGGGAGTATTTTGTATGTTAAATAATAAAACTTTTAATTTTTCCAATAAAAAATTGAATGAAAATTTATTGTACTAAACTTCACACCCTAGTGAAACCAACGGTGTTTTGTATTGCTTACCTGTTTACACATCTCCCCAAAATTTAATTTTGATAAGTCAATGTA